GATAACTCTACACAGCAGGAATAAAAAAAAAATCTGTTTTGATGTTTAGTACAGTTACAGTAGCCACACGGAATAAAAATACTTCCTTGCCAATGAAAGACTATTTCGTTTCAAACTATTCAGCCCCAATGTTTAATGAAAACCAGCATTTTATGGAATGAAGAACAAAATTACAGACTGAAATATAATAAAATAAAATAAAAAATAGTCAGTAACTTTGTGGGATTGCAAACATGAGACAGAGACGGTGTTTTTTTTTAAGGTGTCTGTTAAGAAGTGACATTACTGACCCAGCTTCAGTTCTGGTTTCCTTAAGCAATGAACCAGGACTCAGGAAAAATGAAAATCTGGAAGTAGAGGAGCAAAAAAATAATGATAAGAAGAAAAAGAAAGGCTTTAAAGATGATGAGTAAAATCTTCAAATGGACAGTAAATGTTGTCACTTTATCATGCCTTGATGGTGATGATAGATGTTCTTGCAGCCTTCCACTTCTCTATGATTAATGATAAAAGCAGCTTTATTGTCTGTTCATTCCTTTACACTCAGAAAAACAATCTCAGTATGAACCTATATAAACCTCCTGATTCTGACAGAGTCCATCTGCAGGACCAGACATGTCCCCTCGTTCTTAGGAAGTGGTGAGTGAAGTGAGGCAGAGTGAGACACGCTCAGATCTGAGTCTCATTTTTGGTTCCTGTAACCCGGCTCAGAGTGAGTCCTCCTCACTGTTTTCTGCTCTCTGATGGATCCGGTTGGCACGCGGCCCTGGTTCTCCAGCGTCAAGTTAAACAGAGAACATCACTTCGAATTTCCTGTCAATGTTTTTTCTTTTTAAATATGCATCAGATTTGCAGAAAGTTGTATGAAGTGTAACATTTTAAACGTTTCACGAGTTAGAAATGAGTCACACATGTGTGGCACATAACTGAGTGAACAGGACTGTCGATGCTCTTTCTGGAAGTCTCGATAGTAATCGGTGGACATTTTGGGAGGCACGGTTACATTATTGGACACATCCATCTGGAGCATCATGTGGCAGGTTGTCTGTCATATTCGGCTGCCTGTAATGATTTCTTTAATATCAAATGGGGAAGGAGTGGACATTAAAGTGCTTCAATACGGTCTTAACTGACCTGGATTTGTCACTGGCTGAACAATTCAAAAACGTTTTGTGCACAACTGGCTAATGTCAGCTGTTTTCTAACCAGACAGACTAAAACAGAAATTTATGTAGTTTTACTTTTTCTCTGAGTCATAAAAGAAGGCGGGCTGCAAGGTGGTGCAGTGGTTAGCACTGTTGCCTCGCAGCAAGAAAGTCGCCAGTTCGCATCCCGGTGAGAACACCCGGGAACTTTCTGGGTGGAGTCTCCATGTTCTCCCCGTGCAGCGTGGGTTCTCTCCAGGTTCTCCGGCTTCGTCTTACAGTCCAAAAACATGTTGAGGTTAATTGGTGTGAATGTGAGTGTGTTTGGTGAGGATTAAGCGGTGTATAGATAATGGATGGATAAAAGAACGCTGCATTTATATTTTTGTTCAGTGTAATTATTAAGATTTGTGCTTCATAAACAATTCAGACTTTCATTAAAAAAAAATAAAACAAATCTGGGGACATTACGAGTTGTTTGTTGTGCAATACGCAGTAGAATAACTTTACTGTAAGTCGACCGCAACTCCCTACTCCCTTGTCTTAACAATGTCACCTGTCACATGTCAGCGGGGAACACGTGACTCCAGGCCTGTCTGAATGAAACTGCCGCCCCGTTTGTTATAGAATTCAGTTTGGGATTCTGNTCCAGCCCCCCATGACCCTAGTGAGGATTAAGCGGTGTATAGATGGACATTCATTTCACTATCCTTCATTGTGGGACAGTGTCAGACCTACATGCAACCACTGAGCTTTGTATTTAAATGTGTGAAGTTTAAAATTAAAGAGTTCTTATATGCAGCTGTCACATCATTGACTGAATGGTAAAATGTATACATTAACTTACACAATTAACACATTTGTACAAGGTTTCCTCTCTTGCAACACTTACAGTGGCAACATGTTTTATTGTAACATTTTATATTTTAGCTCTTCATTGAGCCAACCTGTTCCTAAAGTAGGCAGCACATGGTCCGTCCATTTTAGACGTACAAAGAGTCAAAAACGCCCTCTTTCATGTGAGCGAAGAACAAAACCTGGTTAACACAGACAGCTGAAGACCACCATGAAGATACCTGATATCTCTGCTGGGTTTTTAGGATTTGTAAAGCCAGCTAACATTACAAACCTGACTATGTCAAACTTTCCCCTCAGCTGGCGTCCACTGTGTTCGACGTGCACAGGGTCAAATAAAAATCTGTGAAAGTGTCCTTTAATGTCAGACTCCAGCATAGTCACATGACCTTATCAGTCTCCACCCACCTTCAGCCTGAGCTCAGGTGTAATTAAACAAGACCCTGAACACCTGGACACGTGACCTCTGACCTCAGTGAAGGTCACCTGCACGTGAGGCTGCACCTGAGACACGCACACACATACAGGAGCAGCCGTGCGTGTGTGTGTTTGTGCGTGTGCGTGTGTGTGTTCAGATGACAACAAACCATCTCTGACCCAAACACACCGGAAACCAGACAAACCCGCGCGACCCAGCGACACCACAGCTCCGCGCGTGCACGTCGTGTCGCGCCCGTTGGGCTGCAGCCTCCTCCATCCTCTGTGTCTCATTCACACTCGGCAACACGCACGTCCCCATCACCCGCACGCACGCACACAGGCGCGTGCGCACGCCCCCTCTGCCCGGCACACACCCTCTGTCTGCGCGTGTCGTGCGCGCGCGCCGTTAATCAGCCTCTTACCGCAGAAACGAGCAGATTGTCTTCAGGATCAGGAGCCGATTTGTTGCTGCAGAGGTGATCTCGCGAAGAGCCGCGTCACGTCTCGCGAGAGAAGGGTCAAAGGGGCTGGTCACGTGATCCGACTGTGTAACCCGGTAACATGTAATCAATAATCAATATCAGGCCTCTTAAGCGTTTTTTTTT